GGCTGGAACAAGGCACCAAAATATTATTGTGTGTGTGTGTGTGAGAGCGCGCAAGAGAGAACGCTTAAAGCTTTCAACAGAATACCACCTTCTCTCCAGCTTTTCACCCAATTCATACAAACTCTAGAGAGCTTTTCTCTGCTGCTGTCCTCGGCCGTACATTGCCAATAAAACTAGCAAGGCCTGTAAATTTAGTGCAAATATATTTGGTATTAACTAATTAGGCTTGCTACTGCTGACAAGCAGTTAATGGGTTTGAAAATTCAGCAATTCCTACTAACAAATAAAAACCTTCATCTGTAATACATGCTTTCTACAACATCATTAAAATTCCCAGTTCAGAGTAAAAGCTAATACATTTTCTTCAAGGGGAAGGTTACTCTCTCAGCCAGGAAATTTGGAGGGGGATTATGTTGTTCTGATCCATTCCTCACTTTCCTCTTCATCAAGACACAGATGAGAAAGGACTGGAAATGTGTACCCCTAATGCAGTCACCCACTCCACCAGCCAATGTGATCCCTCATCTGACACACCGGGATTCTTGGCGAATGCCTCAGAAGAGATTGCTTTCTCCCAAACTTTGCCAAGTGGAAGCCATCATCTGGGAATTTCAAATTTATAGGGTAGGGGAAAACCTCAAATAATTTGTTCGTTCATTCATTCACTCACGCCTTCATTCATTCCCTCAGTAATAATGCTGTGAGCACATACAACTTATGAGACTACACATATGGTACTGTGGGGGATATAAAGAAAGACAGATACATTTATTTCCTCAAGAAGCTAACAATTTGCAAGGTTGTCTCCAGAAAGGGTGGCACCTGGGACTTTGATGGGACAAACTTCTTGCCTATTGACTCATAGTCTCAAGATTTGAAGGCCCCTTAAAAAATTCCTCCAATGCTCTTCAGACACCTTGGCCCTTCCCTTATAGCCACTAAGAAAAGACATCTCTTTTTTATTCCTAGGGTCCTGGTGTAAGCCAAGGTCATGTGGATTTCATCATGCATGGGTACCTGTCCCTCTAGTGTCATCACTGCACCTCATTGTTGCGGCCTTTTTAAGGCAGAGCATCCACTGCTTTCTTCCTCTCCTCCCTCAGGCTGAGTTCTGTTCATGGCAATGGTATCTACTAAGCTTCTGACCAGCCGTGTTACATGACTATTTACGCTGGAAATGAGGCCACTTTCACTGACTGGCACAAAGAGACTCTATTTTCTCTGCTAATGTCCTTCCTTAGCTCCTACAGAACATATTCATTGAGTAGTTACTATGTGCAAAGCCTTGTACTAGATGGTATTGGGAACAGAGAGGGACCAGGATGGACGGTGGTAACTGCCACACAGAGTTTGCAGTCTAATGGGCAGAAAGATAATAAAATGGGCAATAACCATCCGGAAGAACAGGGTGTAAGTCCTAGCTGGGTTTTAAGGGTCAGGAGATGCTCCTACAAGGAGTGGTAACTAAGCTGTGATAGATTAGCTTACTGTTCAGAAATACTCACTCCCCATGTGTCCATGATCCTTGACTTTGGGCTTCATCATGTAACTTGTGTGGCCAATGGAATGTTAGTGGATATGACTTAACCAAAAGATTAAAATGCATTTGCGCAAACAGCCTTGCTTTCTTGTGCCTCTGCCATCACTATAAGAAGAACATGTCTCAGCTAACCTGTGAGTAAAAGGAGGATGATAGACACGTGGAGCAGAGTCACCTGGCCAACCCTACAGGCCTGCAGCTTGAAGCAGAGTCTCCCAGCTGTGCCCAGCCTCAATCAACCGACCCCCAGATGTGTGAGTGAGCCTGTGGAGATAACCAGAGCTGCTCAGCCAATCTGCAGCCCGAAGCAGACCTCCCCACAGCTCTCAGAACAGGTGATGATGGCTAGATAGCTAGATAGCTAGGTCACAGGAAGTAATATGAGCAAAATAAATGGATTTATGCTTTTCTTTAAAAGCAAGGGGAAGCAATATCAAGGTTTTAAGTAAAGGAATGATGTGATCATGTTTGATATTAGAACGATCACTCTGGCTCTATTGTGGAGAATGGATTAGAAAGGATCAAGATTGAAGGCACGGAGATGTGTTGGGTGGCTGGTGCAGAAATCCAGATGGAAATGATGGTGGCTTGGACTAGGGTAATGGCAATGGGAGTGACAAGAAGGGATTTGAGAGGGATGAAGGAGTCAACGTTGACTCTCCATGAGGCATCCAGACCAAGAGTCTCTCAATTAGGATTTCTGAGTGTAAGTAGGGAGAGTATGACGCAGGAACCATAATGGATATGCCCAGTGCCTTCCACTGATGTGGAATGCTCACAGGCTTCCCTTGATTGGGTGGGACAAAGGGAATGACCAAACATCGCCCTCCCCCGACAACCCATACACTGCACACTCTTCGCCCCCATAAGACCTTGCACATAGTTCAAACTGAGCATAAATATCACTTTACCTATGAAGCCTTCTCTGATGCTTGCCCCCCATGCCCCAGAGAAACTGAATGCCTCCCTCCTCCATCCTTCCATAGCATATATGCTCATTAGGTGCCAGGAAGTGTTCTAACTGTGTTATCCATATGCAGGCATCAGCCCTTCCTGGGGCAGCTGTAACATATGTTTGGGGGTTTGCTTTCTTTATTTTTTTGGTGAGGAAGATTGGCCCTGCACTAACATTTCTTGCTAATCTTCCTCTTTTTGCTTGAGGAAGGTTATCGCTGAGCTAAAATCTGTGCTGATATTCCTCTATTTTGTATATGGGATGCTGCCACAGCATGGCTTCATGAGTGGTATGTAGGTCCATGCCAGGGATCTGAACTGGTGAAGCTGGGCAGCCAAACCAGAGTGCGTGAACTTAACCACTATGCCACCGGCCCGGGCCCTGGGGGTTTGCTTTCATTATATGGGGAACCCAAGGATGCCTCACCTCATGTGCCTGATGTGAGAAAGGATGAGGAGGAGTTGGGCCAGGCGCCGGTGCTGCTGCTGCAGAGTCAGGCCCGATTTGGCCATCAGATGGATCAAGGTGTCTGTCATCTTGTCCAAGACACGGTGGATATGGTCCTTCTCTTCCAGAGACTTCAGGGTGCTGGACAGAAATGTGTACACTCCTGAATGTGCAGAGAGAGAGTGAGAGAGAGAAACTCAAAGAGGATGATATCTAGGAGACTAGGAGTGTGCATGGGACATAACACTGAGCCAGCATCTCTCTCCAGCACAGCAGTGAGGAAGTTTGGGACCCATTTGATCCAAGCAACTACACAAAATTCCTAATCAATATACACATCCGGGAAACTGAGAAACCCATGTGGACTCCTGTGTGTGAGCCAATATCCAGGATTTGTCATCAAGATTCCCAGGAAAGACACTGTTAGTCTTGGGGCCGAATGGTTACACTAGCCCCCCTTCTCTGACAGGTCTGACAGCAACACAAACTATCCCATTAATGCTGATGACAACCCCGTGAGGGAGGCATTATTGTTCCTTTTCACACAAAGACGCTGAAGGGCAGAGAGATGCATTAACCTGCGAAGATAACTTGATAGGACAGAGAAGAGCTAAGAAGAAAGCCCAACGTGCTGACACCACATCTGGTCATTATAATGGGGGCCCTCAGGAGAAACGTGACACTCTTGGCGAGATTCACAGAGAAAGTGAAAGTGGTTTGCTCAGTGATTGACAGGTAATCTTTCTAGGTAGGATTTAATTTGCTGTTATGTTTCAGGTCAAGTTTAGTACTTTTCATCTTCAGCTGAAAGGTTTATGACGGGTGGGTATAGAGGACCTGGCACCTGCTGTTTTTCACTGCCAGGCATGATTTTTTCCCTCTTGCCTTTCTTCTGGTAATAGATCCTACTCCCTGGGCCATAACGAGACTCAGGACTGAAACTAGACAATCAGGGCACTCTATTCTTTTGGCCAGTATTAGCCCTGAGCTAGATAATCAGAGCTTTCTCTGGGATTGTATATAGAAGTTGTGAGACAGAAATTGTTTCCTCTAGGGTTGCTGAGCTGGGAGAATGAGAATATGGGACTTTGAGGTAGTGGCATCTTCCCAGCACACGGAGCTCCCGTCTGCAGAATGGAGCCAAGCGACAAGCAAAGATGATAGTTATAAAGGGGGTGGGGGTGGGAGGAGAGGAGATAAGAGAAATCCTGGTTCCAGTCACAAGGTCCTGGTTCTTACATGTTTTCATTTGACTTTGGAGCTTCCGTGGTATCCTTTCTAACACATGAATCCATACATTCTCCTTTTGCTTAAGATACTGTGAGTTGGGTTTTTGTCACTTGCACCTGAAAGAATCCTGACTATTCTACTAAGTTGTGAGCTTAGCTCAAGGACCAGAGGAAGGTGAGTGATAAAGAGGTGGGAAGTCTTAAAACCAAGAGGAGGGCTTCTGGATCCGTCTTGACTTGGGACCATAAGGATGGATTTTCTACCCAGCAAATGCTCCAGAAATAAGCTCCATTCTGCTCAATCATTCCGTCTTTCATGGAACAGATAATATAGTATTTTTCTCCGGATGATTCATATTTAGCAACATTTTTTTGGTCTTACCCCTATTCCACCCACTGGCTCTCTCATAAATAAATTTCTTCTCCTCCCCTCCCTGTCTTCCCCATACCTTCAAGTTAAGGCTCTCAAGTTTGTCAGTCCCTGACTTTGTACTGGTAGCGTGGTGACAAATTACTGCTCACACAGCAGCCTGTAGGTGGGGAATGGGGAAAACACCTACACAGAGGAACTCCTAGTAAACAGAGTTGTAATTGCCCAGAATGGAAAATGGCTGAGCTTTAAAACAAATACAACAACAACAACAAAACGAGAATGGTCAGGATCTTGGCTGACAAGCAGTGAATAGAATAATGCAGCTTTTGGTACCCAGAGGCACTTCGAGCTAAAGGAAATAGAGCACAGAATGAGTAAGCAGCAGACACGAAGTGGGATAAGAAAGAAATTGCTGGATTACTTCACTTATGCTCCAAGTGGGCTGCTGATAGGGAAAGAATGTGTCCATTAGACTAACGGGCAGATGTCCAGTGGCCTTGGCATTGGCCCGGAGGGATCGGATGGCAGGGGAGGTGTGAGCCGGTGGGCTGGGGTCAGAGGCGGCCTCTGCTGAGTCACCATGACCCTGCCTCTCACCACCCTCTGTGACATCACACACATTCTAGCCTCAGTCTCCCAGGGCCCTGTGTCTGGCTGGAGATCCTGGGAGCCTGCCCAGGCCACGGAGCTGAGTTAATCCAACTTGGATGATGTGCTTTCTACCAATTTCCTTTTTTGTTACCACCCAGGATGCTGGCCTTATTCACCAATAATCCCGTTCTCGTTCAAGGAAACCACAGAATCAGGGAGCAAGCAGCTTCGATGGCGCTGCCTGGGAAGGTGACAGTTGTGCCGTTCTTGCTCTTCCTGCCTGTGTGCACAGGGTTAGAGCACACAGTGCTAGAATCCCGGACATCCTGAGGGCCAGTGTGGCCCTCTGCCCTTTGCAGTGGAGGTGACAGCCTTAACTCTCAGACTTCAGGGTGTGACATTGTTCTCTTGGGCTGCTGATGCCCTGTCTTTCTTGACACACACACACGATGTCATTGAGAACTCACGCTGTGCACGGACTACGCTAGTGATAAGGATTCCAAGCCTTCTTTTCTTTTAAGTGTTAATGTTTCTAGGAGCTGATATTGCCTGTGGAGAAAGAATTTTCTGAACACCGACTCTCGGGATGCAGGCCATTCTCTGAACAAGCCTGTTTTTCTAGTCCTGTCTTGGCACCAATACAGCTTATCATCTCATCCTTGTCAGCAGATGCTTCTTAGCTGCACAAATATACTTAGAAATAAAAATACAGTCCTGTTGAAATGCCAATAATTGACAACAGCAGCCATCATCTTTTTGGGCTTTTCTGGCAAAACGTCCATGTTTGCTGCCTGTTGCCCCTAAGGGGCCAATGGAGAGAAACAACAGAAATCCAAATTCCCAGGGTGCTTCATGTGCCCTGGCAAAAGCAAACCAGGGCTGCTGGTAATTTCCATATCCCAGGTGGTCTCTGCCACCCTGGATGGCGGCATCACTGTTCCCAGCAGCACAGAGCCAGCGATCAGACAGTGAGGGCCTTCAGAAATAGTCTTGCAACGAGGCAGGCTTTTGCAACTCTCGAGGCTGCTCCAAATCCCAAAGATGGAAAAAAACAATCTGTATGTCATTATCCAGTCTCGAAGTGTTGTTGGCACATCTGACGGTCTACGTATTCTGAATCTTGCAGCCAACACTGGGAGAGGTAGGAAGTCTGTGGAGCAAACCTGCATGGACACCCCAGATAGAAGAGGTCTCAACTCAATCTTTCTCGCTTTCTTGCTCTCACTGACTCTTGATTCCACTCTCTCCTTCTACTTCTCTGGTTCTGCTTGAACACTCTCTTTCTTCTTCTTTTTTGCTCTCCACCCTACAGAAGCCCCCTCTCCACCCCTCATCACATTTCCAGATAATGGAATCTTCTGGAAGCTGAGGGGACACCGGCATGGACACTGCCGTACACATATGCACGTGGCCATGCCCCGAAGGAAGCACGAGCATCACCAGGGGTCCCCAGCATGCCCTCCCATGGGCCCCCACTGAGGGACACATCTAACTGTTCCTGGAGAAGTGCGGAATGCTGAGGCCAGTGGCTTACCAGATGCTGGAGGACAACTTCTTCAAACAGGGCCACATTTTTTCTTTTCCAAAAGGAAGAATGTGACAGCGGGCCCTGGGAGAGTTCTCCAAGCTATGGCAGCTTGACCAAAAAAAATGGGAATGACTCAAAGGAAAAAGATAGCGAAGAAAACTCCTTAAGTCCACAGCTGTAAATGGTCTGGGCCAGAAAGCTGTCACTCCACTGGGATAAAAAGGAACTTCTTTTTTTATCCTGTTCACCCAGTGATTTATAGGCAGATCAGCTTTTCAGGTTTTCTGCTGGGAATTCTTTCCACAACCAAACAGCATCTTTGCTCCAAAGTGCCTTCGAGGTTAACAGTTTGTTGAGCACCATGTTTGTTTTGTGCTTGACCTATGACTGCTGTTCTTCTTGGGGACAGTACTGTCCCTTGTGGGGTGTTTGGACAGCTCGTGGTTGCTACAGCCATTTAGTGGGAGAGGCTGTGCTGGGTGTCTTACGATGTGCAGGAGAGTTCCAAGTAACAAAGGATTTTTTTCTTGAATGTCCTACTGAACTAACTGTATTACAAATAAAAATTTGTAGTGAAAAGTTTTGAAAAGCTTTTACAAGGTTGTACACAAAAGGTCCAGGATGCAAATTGACTAGACAGAGGGAACCTTAAATGGCATAGTTTTCTCAAAATTATTAAATAATTTATTCACTTTATGCAGTCTGCCAGTAGAATGTATTACGTAAGATTTCCAACTATACACTTAATTGAAATGATTTCCAAGTGGTTCTTCTGGTACCAAAAGGCAACACAACTGGTTGCAAATATATAGAAGAGATGGAAGATTCTTCTAAACAAAATTAGAATCAACTGTTATAAAATAGTAGACATCAAGGAAATATTGTGTTATTTCCTCCTACATGTTTTTAAATAATTTTGTAGCATGATAAGAAATTCATTTTGTGAAAAGTGCATGTTAAAATTATTTTGGGGTTCTTGTCTCTCTGTCTGACACTGAAACTGCCTTCAGAGGTTTCCCACATACTTCCTGATTGACTACTATTTCTTTTTCCCATTCATCATCTCTTTTCCATTGTTTATCCAAAGGATATGGTTTCCACAGCCTTTTAAAATTCTGGAGACTGTATGTTTATTTGCCTTGAATATAGTGGGCTATTAAGATGGGATATATATTTCTATTTACTTTGGTACTTCTTCATCCTGTATCATAACAAAAGGAATTACGTTGAAAATACACTTATAATAAAGCCCAGCTCATTTGCAAAATTATGTTACTTCCTCTTTTTTGTTTGTGTGTGCTTTGACAGTCTTTGGCTTTTCTCGGTATGTTATTACTAAATCAATTTAATTTATTTCTCTCTTCTTATCATCTGTTAATAGGTCTTGGTTAGTTTTTAGTTTTCTTTTTCAGATCTTCATCTCCACGTCTGCTTTCTCATATGCCTGTGCTGCTTCTATCATCTTCTTATATCCAAACGTTCGTTATAAACACATGTAAGCATTTTACTACTTTATCATGTTTTCTACTGTGGTCACGTCTGGGCATCTGCATTGAAATACATATCATTTTATTTTAAATTAGTTTAACATCATTTCTCCTTTATATGACAGTTACGAAATTACACTTTTTTTTTTTTTTTAAGAAAACTATGTGTACAGATAAACTATTATCTGTTTACTTCATTTCGGGATGCTCAAAGGGATATGCATGTTTTACTAGACTGGTATTGTTTACTGGCAATTCTAAGAGAGTTTTCTCCAGTACATGATTCCCACAGGTGGCTGTCTTTCAGAATCCCCATGGAGTTTTCCAAGATGCAGCCGCCTACTTTTCACTTAAACCTGCTGACTGGAAGCTGAGGGTGGAGCTCTGATAACTGTGTTTTTAAAAAACTCCCCATTGATGACTCTGATGCACAGCTAGGGTTAGGAATCACATGATTATCACGGTTTCTTCATATTGTGGCCATTAAAATGTAAAGTCTTGAAGACAGGGACTGTGTCTTCATTCTGCAAAAGTTGCCTTATGATGCAAAATGATTTTGAAGATGTCTTCTCTATGCATTTTCCTGCTCTGAATGGTCCTCCATGCTTTTTTCCCCTTTCTGGCTGGCTGGTTAGAATGGAGATGACTCTTAGGATGATCTTGGAAGTCACCCAATGAAGACTGCAGCGTCCACCTCAGCCTGAGTCCCTGGATGACCACACAGAAGAGGGCTCTGACACAACCTGTTCGTGCACCCAGCATTGTTAAGTGAACAAGAAATAAACCTGTGTTGGAACTGTTATACATTTTGGAGTCTATTTGTTAGAGAAGTAGTCCTCTCCAATGCAAGATGAGAAGTGTTTTGTGGCTTACTGACTGAATAAATGAATAAATTTGTAACACGAGAGATAAAGTCCCAGGGATTTTTTGCATACCTCCTTTTGTTGCCATTTTTTATATTTGTAAGACCTTAGGTTGCATACTTTACTTAGAAGTTATTTGTCTTCCCAAATCCAATATTGCCACGTTTTGTTATAGAAACCACAATCTAGGTTCTAGAACCACCTCATTATCATCTGCCATGCTAACCACTCATTCTAAATACTAACAGCTATGTGCTGCACAGTGACGTTTCAGTCAATGACGGACTGTGTATACGACAGTGGTCCCATAAGATCAGTACCACACACCTGCGTGTGTAATAGGCTGTACCATCTAGGTGTGTAAATACACTCTACAATACTTGCACAACGGCAAAATCGCCTAACAACACATTTCTCAGGCTGTATCCCCATCATACATGTATCCCCTGTGCTTCATAGCAACCAATAAGGTAAAGAAGCAAGAGGCAAGCCCAGGACATCGGAATGTTTAGTTAGTTACGATTCACCTCCAACACCTCCCAACATTACCAAGGATTTCAAAAAGAGAATGCTCTATGCCATCCAGGAACTGACTTCTCATTTCACAAACTCAACAAAAGAGTATTGCTATCGGCAATCTTTGTCCGTAGGTAGGAAACTTCCATCTTTCTATTGATGCATGAATATTTACCTGCAAGGTGAAGAGCCCGTTCATAACCAATGCTTGAGCAATGTTTACTGTTCCACTAGTATTTGTAAGATCACGTGTGTCATCCAAGTCCTCTTCTAAGTGTCTCAAAGTACGAGGGATCACAGTGAAGACAAGTGTTCTTGCCAGAACTCAACATGGGAACATGGTAGTCCTGTTCACTTGGCATCATTATATATCCACAAATGCCCCTTCAGCACAGAACAGAAGACTATGAAATCATAGGCTAATGATTCATTGACATTTATCAATTTAGTATATTTTTTAGTGAAATCTGCTAGATGTTCTAGAAGATAAACACTTGATACATCAATGCATTCAAACTGATTCAAAGGACAAATCTCTTACTGATGATTTCAGATGGTGAAACTGATGAACTGGCTCGACTGACTTGAGAAATCTTAAATGTGCACACTTTCAAAAAATAATTTAAGTGGGAGCCATGTGTCTCCCTTTTATATATGAAATCATAGTTTTTAATTTTTGTAATAAATAGTATCCTAGCCTTATACCTTTTAGGATAAAGCCATTATGGATCTATATTTTGCTAAGGAGTTTTATTTTTGTTAGTTATATCTGTAACATGTTAAGAAAGAGCCAGGGTTCTGATTTTCCTATTCCTCTGTCAATTACTAGCTTCCTGAGATCAAAGAAGATGTTCTGAAGAGACATTTGATGGAAAATGTGCAGCCCCTCTATTACAGAGGAATTTGTTCACAAGTTTCCATGTGGATTTCCTAGTCCCAGTGAGCTGCTTGGTCTCAGGAGGCCTTGAGGTTTTCATCTTTTTCCCCAGAAAATGCAGGCCGAAACTGCCTGGACAAATTCATTTCCTTAGACCTTACCTTTCCTTGCCTGGCATTTCAAGGACAGCGGGGTAATAACACAGAGCAGGAAGCAGCTCTTACACATGGGGCAGATGGTATTTTCCAAAGATTACCACAGCACTATCTCCCATCACCATGCTCCTCTCCGCGATCTTGGCGCTCCGCCCATGGAGGTGTGCAATGCAATGGATACCCTTCCCTTGAGTCTGAGTGGACCCATGACTTGCTTGTAGTTAAAAAAATAGTCTGGAAGTGATGCCACATGGCTTCTAAGGGGTTGTCATACAAGGCCATGCAGCTTCTGCCTTGGCAGCTAGGACACTTCCGGAGCCCTTGCCGCCTTCTAAGAGCTACAGCGCACCAGGCTGTGCAGAAGCCCAGGCTACACAGAGAGACCACAGATAAGCATCCTGGCTGACAGCTCCAGCTGATGTCCCAGCCAATAGCCAGCATCAATTGCCAACATGTGAATAAAGACGCCTCAAGATGACTCCAGCCCACAGCTATCAAATTACCCCTAGTTGGTGACTTTCCCCATCTGAGGCCCCAGACATGATGGTGAAGAGTCAAGGCATTCCCTCTGTGCTCTAGCCAAATTCATGACCAATAGAATGCAAATCTTTTTTTTTTAGCTGTTAAGTTTTGAGATAATTGATCACACAGCAGCAGTAAGCAGAATACACCTAGACATCTACACCAGACACTTAGGGAGGAAAATGATCCAGAACAGGCAGATTGTAGATTAGACCCCTGATCTGGTACATCATGAGATAAAATGGCATTTGAACACTTCCTGCTCCACATTTTGAATTCTGTTGCCTACCAGTGCCTTAGGCCAGCCCTTGACCTTCAGCCTCATTGATGCAATGGTAGAGCCTGAGCTCATCTTATCAGTACTGTGTGCTTTTTCATATGATGCCTTTAGCCCTAATCACTGCTCAGCTGATTATCAAAACATGGATCTTCCACTAACTGGCAACCCAAAATATCGTCTCTCTAGTCTCTCGCCAGAGAATAAAGCGCTTTGAGTTTGAATTGACAATCCTTATCAAGTGCTAGTTGTAAGAAATAGACTTTGTAGAGGTTTTCCTGAAGGAGAGTTTTTATGTTGAACAACTGCTCTATTTTATTTTATTTTTATTAAAAGCCTGTGAACCTTATAACGGAATGTGTTCTCCTCTTTGCTTTGGCCAAGCAAAGGGAATTTAGAGCCAAATGTGTTTCCACTCCTGGGAACTATACAGATGTACTTCTGTCTGCTCATCTGACTCCTGGATTTATTATTTTGCTCACATTATTTTCCCTTTTTCCAGATTTTGACAATTCTCGGCTTATTCCCTTTGCATCATATAAAACAATAAGCCATTTCAAATCCTCTGTGGAATAGGCAATATATAAATAAAATAATAAAAAAGACGTCCCTCCATCGCCTGCCAAATCAAAAAAGTGTTAATGTGAATATAGATGTTTATTAAACATTCATCTGGGTTAGCCTCAAATCCAGAAAAAGTGATGTATGATCTAAGAATATACAATTGGCCGAGATGCACATGTTCACGTCATCCTGAATTGGACAGCACTGCTTGAACGGTATTCAGCACTGGCCACGAATAAATGAAGGGAGCACCTCCTTGGTTCTGACTTGCGTGTCAACCTCCAGAGCCACAAAGTTTCAGATATATTTTTCGCCTTTTTCCTAGACATAGAATTGAAATGGCTGATAGTTCTCTCCGATTATTTTGAAAAAGATAATTAGGGTCGAGAATTACTATTTCGGAGAGAGAAGTGGACATGTAGATGGCACATATTCTTTAGGTCTATCAGCTCCATCATTTCAAGTGAACACTACAGTGGATAAAATTGTACTGAAAGAGTGTCACTTGACTGTGACAGGTTTATCTCATTTTTCCTTATGGAAAGAAAAGTCATATTACTTTGCAAAAAGAAGATACAGAATTCCAGAATTATGGATTTAAAAGGGGCCTTAAGTCTATCTAGTTCAGTGGTTTTCGTATAATTTTTAGAAAGAAAATCCCTTAAAAAAAATAAACCTCACAAGGCTGGCCCCATGGAATAGTGGTTAAGTTTGGTGCATTCCACTTTTGTGGCCTGGGTTCACGGGTTTGGATCCTGGGCATGGACCTACACCACTCATCAGCCATGCTGTGGCAGTGACACATATAAAGTAGAGGAAGGCTGGCACAGATGTTAGCATAGGGCTAATCTTCCTCAGAAAATAGATTAATTAATTAATTAAATAAACTTCATGTGAAATCCTCACATATAAACTGGGTGAAGTAAAACTTCTCTGATTAAAGCAGGAGAAATGAGGAGCCTGTAACCCACTCACTCAGCCTCTCCCCCTTTGCCCCACATCCCCATCCTCTTGGAACCCAGAGGCTCCTTCTGGAACACAAGCTTCAGCAGAAGAAGGTTTAAAAACCAATGATCTCAAGAGAATGAGAAGACAAGCCACCGACTGGGAGACAATATTTGCAAAAGATATATCTGATAAAGGACTGTATGTAAAATATACAAAGAACTCTTAAAAATCAACAATAAGAAAACTAACAACCCAGTTTAAAAATAGGCAAGAGAACTGAATAGACACCTCACCAAAGAAAAAATATACAAATGATAAATAAGCATATGAAAAGATGCTCCACATCATATGTCATTAAGGAATCGCAAATTAGAACAACAATGGCATACTACTACACACCTATTAGAATGGCCAAAATCTGGAACACTGACAACACCAAATGCTGGTGAGGATATAGACAAACAGGAACTCTCATTCATTGCTAGTAGAAATGAAAAATGGTACAGCCGCTTTCGAAGACAGTTTGGCAGATTCTTACAAAACTAAATACCTCTTACCGTACAATCCAGCAATCATACTCCTTGGTATTTACCCAAAGGAGTTGAAAATTTATGTCCACACACCCACACACAGATGTTTATAGCACCATTATTCATAATTGCCAAAATTTGGAAGCATCCAAGATGTCCTACAGTAGGTGAATGGATAAACTGTGGCACATCCAGACAATAGAATATTATTCAGTGCTAAAAAGAAATGAGCTATCAAGCCATCAAAAGACATGGAGGGGAGCTGGCCCCATGGCCTGGTTGTTAAGTTCAGCACTCTTCACTTCAGCAACCCAGGTTCAGTTCCTGGGTACAGACTTACACCACTCATCAGCCACGATGCTGTGGTGGTGACACATACAAAATAGAGGAAGACTGGCACAGATGTTAGCTTAGGGTGAATCTTCCTCAGGAAAAAAAAAAAGATATGGAGGAAACTTAAATGCATCTTACTAAGTGAAAGAAGCCAATCTGAAAAAGCTACATACTGAAGGATTCTAACTATATGACATTCTGGAAGAGGTGGAACTAT